GATCTCAAGCGCCGCCGCCCCTCGCTGCAGCAGCACCACATTGGCCATGGACGCCCCATGCATCGAGACAAGCAATGCCGTCCGGTGCATTGCACGCACCTGGGCGGCAAACGGCATGGCCTGCGCAGTGGGGCAGGGAGCAAGGGGTGGTGGCCACTGGTACGTTAGGCATCTCATGGCGCTCCAGGGGAGGGGGGGAGAAAAACTGACCGCACACGGACTTACTCTGACAGCCAAGGAGTGTTTGTGGCACCGCCAATCGTCCTCCATCTCCGCCCACGGCCCACCGCCCACGGCCCACGGCCCACTGCCCACCGCCCACTGCCCACCGCCACTGCCCACGGCCCACTGCCCACGGCCCACTGCCCACGGCTCACTGCCCACCGCCCACTGCCCACCGCCCACCGCCCACCGGTGCACACACCTTTGCACTCCACCAGTCATCTGGTTGCTGCACAACAACCCTCGGGGGTTGAGAGGGGGAGGGCACAGCTCACCTCGAGGGAGACGACCTTGACAGGCAGCCTTGGAAAGACAGCCCTCAGGAGGCTGGCCATGGCTCTGAAGTTGCTGATGGTGCGCACGCCCTTGCGCTCCACCACCGTTATCTGATAAGCGATCTGCCTCCCACCTCTCCCTTTCCCACCCCCTCTGCTACTCTCCTGCTGCTGCTGCTGCTGCTCTCTGCTGCTCAAAGTTGACCCCTCTGCTTTGAGGCGCCTCATTAACTGGAGGTCTCTGCTGCTGCTGCTGCTGCTGCTGCTCTGACTCCATGCCTGCACTTGCAGCAGGTGCCTCTTTTGGTGAGAAGCAAGCCTGGCTCTAACTACGCCCTTGCTGGCACTGGAAACGCCCGCATGTTGCTTCACAGTAGGAACTTTGCCTGTAGCTGCCTTCTCACCTCTCTTCACTCCTTTTCTTGCATCCCCTTGTTGCTTACCAAAGACTCCCTTTCCCTCTTCACCTCCCTGGCCCGACTTGCCCCTTCTCCCCTCATTGCCTTTCTCTTCCTCCCTGTTCTTCTTCTTCTCCTTCCTCCCCTTCCCTGCTGTTTCAACATTCCCATCTCTCTTCCCACCACGTGTAACCTTCCTCCCACCAGCATCATCAGTTCTAGCCTCACCATCTCTACCTCTCCCACCACTCGCATCCCCCCTCCCTCCACCCCTCCTCTCCCCTTCACCCTCACCCTTCCTCCCCTTCCCCAACCCCTCCCGCTCGCTCCCTTTGTCCCGCGCACCACCCCTCCTCAATCCCCCACCGCCTCCCCCTCTCCCCCCCCGCCACCCCCCCTTCCCCTCCCACTCTCCCCTCTCCCCACCTCGCTCCCCCCCACCCTCTCAATCTCATCTGTCCAAATTCTCGGGTCCGCCTGCTGGGCTTTAAGCGTGGGTCCGAGCCCCACACCCTGTGCCACCCAGAGGCGGAAGAGGTCAGCGGAGGAAGGGGTGTGGGCGACGGAGAGCGGGAAGAACACGTCTCGGAAGCACGTCGTGTGCGTCCAGTCACGGCCCACCATCACTGCCGGGGATGCTGCTGTGTGTGCAGCGCCGGCTGTGTAAGCTATGCCTGCTGCTTTCCCTGCTGAATGAATCAAGCCTGCTGTGTCTCCTGCTGCCCCTGCTGCCGGTGTTGAGCCGTCTGGGTGTGGTAAGCCCGCTCTGCTGCCCGGCTGTGCCATGGCTCTAGGGCCACGTGTGCCTTGAAACTCTTTAAGGGCTTCAGGGCCGCGCATGGCAACTGCACCCGCTGCCGCCACCCACCTTGATACTCCCGCGCTGAGAGGGGTGGGGGGCGGAGTGGGAGAGAGGGGGGGGATACAGGGGTATGAGGGGAGGAAGGGCCGCGCATGGCAACAGCGCCAGCTGCCGCCACCCACCTTGATACTCCCGCGCTGAGAGGGGTGGGGGAAAGATGAGGGGATAAGAGGACGAAGGAGGGTGGGAAAAGCAAGGAGGGGGATAAGTGGAGGAGAACGAACGGCATCGGGGCCGAGGAAGGAGAAGGGATAAAGGGAGAAGGGAAAGGGGAGAAGGGAAAAGGAAGAAGGGAAGGAGAGAAAGGATCATCAGCCTATTCACCCCCTTGGAAAGAAGAGAACTGGCTGCGAATTGTACCCGTCAGCAGCACCAGCAGCACCAGCAGCACCAGCAGCACCAGCAGCAGCGGCGGCGGCGGCGGCGGCAGCAGCAGCACCAGCAGCAGCACCAGCAGCAGCACCAGCAGCAGCACCAGCAGCAGAGCAGCAGCACCAGCAGCAGCACCATTAGCAGCACCAGCAGCACCAGCACCCAGATTGTTATGGTTGCTTCTACTGCCACCAGCAACACCACCACCACCACCACCACCGGCATCTCCAGCACCACCAGCTGCCCCGTCCCCAGGTGCCCCCTCCCCCCTCCCTGACCCATGCCTCTCAGGGCAGGTGCCTGGCCACCTCCGTCACGCCCCCAACGAACTCCACAGAGCGCCCCAGGTGGCCGTCTCGTAGCGACACCACACCCACGCCCACGCGCACCCACTACTCACCCGCCTGGGAAGGAGAGACGGGAAGGAGACACAGGAAGGAGACACAGGAACACCCACCCACTCACCCGCTTGGGAAGAAGAGCACTGCCTGCAGGTCGTCCGCATCACCATCTCTGGGCAGGTGCCTGGCGACCTCCGTCATGCCTCCTACGAACTCCACAAAGTGCCCCAGGTGCCCGTCCCGCAGCGACACCACGCCCGCGTCCACCCACTGCTCCGGCTGCTCCAAGGAGATGGCGTACGACGAGTACGGCAGACGCGTGGGCTGCAGGATCTGCTCTATGGTCCTGCTGTTGCTGCTGCTGCTGCTGCTGCTGCTGCTGCTGCTGGTGCTGCTGCCGCTGGTGTTGCTGACGCTGAAGGGGTTCCCAGCAGCAGCACCCACCAGGTCAGGCGGCGGGCGGCCATGCAGAAAGAAAAGCTCAGCGTCACTGGCATGCACAAACGGCCCCACACGCGCAGTAAGCTCGGGCAAATCCCGCCCATCCGCACTCGAGAAATGCTCCCGGCGCAGCGGGGGCAGGGCGGCTCTCCCCGTGCAGATGTTCTCGGACAGGTTCAACCGGGACAGGTCGTATCTGGGGTCCTTCCAGAACCACACGCCCACGTGGCGGTCCGTGATTCGCTCGCGCAGCATGATCTTCTCGAACTCGTGATTGGCCACGGGAACGGAGTGGAAGAGCGGGTTGAAGGCGTAGCACGCGTTGTGCAACCACAGGGCGCATGCGTAGTCCCCCTGCTGCTGCAGCAGACGCAGGAAAGTGGCATTGGCGTCGGCTGGGATTGAGTCGGCGGGGCTTGGGCTGGCTTGGCTTGAAGCAGCGGCACCGCTTTTCCTACCACCAACAGCAGCACCATCACCACCACCACCACTATCACCATCACCATCTCCAGCTGCTGCTGATCTCCCCTTCCCTTGGCCGGCCTGCTGCTCCTGTATCAACTGCCCCCACCCGCCCTCCTCCTCCTCCTCGTCCTGCTCTCGGAAGCTGGGGTCCGCCAGGGGGTTGCTGATGCGCCACCCATGCGCCTGCAGCCAATCGCTGAGGCTCTGGCTGTCACAAGGGGCACACAGATGAAACCGGGGTCAGAGATGTAACGCGTCGACCAGAGATGTAACCGATGTCAGCAGCTTGCTGAGAGCGAGACAGGGGGTGGGGGGGGGGGAAGAGGATCAGAGATGTAACGAGGGAGGGAAGGGATGTAACGTACCGCTGGGTTCAAAGCGTGGCGAGATGGCTCTGAGCCACCAGCACCAGCAGCCTTATCAGAGGCCGACTCAGCGTCAGGGAGGGAGTGAGAGTGTGAGTGAGAGAGTGAGGGAGATAGGGAGTGAGAATGAGGGTGATCAGAGGGGTTTCTTTGAAACATGCCATGCCTAATGCGCGCATGCCATGGGTGCTGCTGCTGCTGCTGCTGGTTCTTATGCTGATTATGCTGTTGCTTGCTGCCCCCCTGCTGATTGTGACTATAACGAGGGTGCCGCTGCTGCGAGCCAGGGTCGGATACTAACGAGGCCACGTGCGCGCGATGCAGCTCGCCTATAAGCACGAGGAGGAGGATCAGCGAGGCCACGCCGTACAGTAACAGCGCGCGGATCAGCCCGTCGCTTCTAACGGGGGAACTGGCTTTCGCGGGAGCGGGTGTGACTGTAGCGAAAGTTCGCTTGCCGTATATCGGACTGATAGCTGATTTGACATGAGGCCTATTTTCGCTGGCAGCGGCAGCCGCTTGGTGAGAAGACGAAGGGGAGGAGACGGATATAGGCGACGGCAGGTGAGGCGACGGTGAATCCTGTAACGCTCTTCGCACGACTGTCGCAGTCGCCGCGCTTGAGGCTTTCGCGACGACCTCTGTCGGCCTGTCGGCCTGTGCTGCTTGCGCGAAGCCAGACGGCCGATGCTGCCGATTCCGGGGGGTTCTGGCCATGGCGTGAGCTGCTGCACTCACGATCTGATGCTGGCGCGTGCATGCGGAGCGGCGAGTGGGCGGAGCGGCGAGTGGGCGGAGCGGCGAGTGGGCGGAGCGGCGAGTGGGCGAATCAGGCGAACGGCATTTGGACGAGAATTGATGGTTCGGTTCGGACCTCGTAAGGAATATAAAACAATGCTGTCCTAAAATATGCGACTATTGCACGTTCCTGTCACCAACCTAGGGGTCTAGGAATTGGAGGGCTGGACCAAATGCCTCATTAGAAGACATGTGGTATTCGTGGAAAGTTACAGAGCTCTTCCGAAAGAAAAATATATATCATGATATTGAATGTACAGTGCAGATTATGATATTCAGGATGATCTTCATGGAGATCTCGAGGCCTCCGATTTTGTTTCCTCAGTAACTTTGCACCTCGGGTTTGGTTTCATTCTGGCTGGCTGGCGTTGAACTTCTCCCGCCTTTCCTCTCTCACCCCCCCTCTCAACTCGACCGACCTCAAGCATGGCAACCAACCGACCTGTCACAACAAGAGCAACAAGTTTACCTCAAGAGAGACTGATCGCACAGTGTATTCAGGTCAGACATTCAGCAGGACTCGTTAGCTCGCTCGCTCACTCACTCACTCACTCACTCTCACTCGCTCACTCACTCACTCGCTCACTCACTGTCGTTAGCCCATTCTCCTCCATGTCTTCAGTCATTCAGCAGGCGGACCTCACTCCACGCAGTCAGCCGCAGCACTGACTCCGATCATTTTCCCTCTCGTGAGTCGTGACGTCATCAGTCTCCAGTCAATCTCCTCCACCCACTCGATCATCGCTACTCGCCTCCAAGCGAACTGAGCTCCCTGGAAATACATCCGTTTTGTCACCTTCGTTTATTGTCACTCCTGACGTTCACCATCCCTCCATAAGCTCACAGGCGGAAGCGCGGGAACGCGCCATAGGCTAACGGGCTGCTGCAATCACTGTGACTCGCACAAACTCAGTCCACGTGACGCGTCAAGTGATTTTTCTAACAGCCACCGATATAAGAAACTCGATTAAGTCCCCAGAGAAACTCTGACACCTTGCGCTTTGGATCAGTCGCTTAGAAGCAGTCGCCTAGACACAGCCGAAACAATCGGCATTTAAGCATAAGAGAATACACGGCAATGAGGACTTCAGTACTGTATCGAGTCACACATACTGCGTTTATATTTCTATCGGCGACAATTTGATGGAGGAACAGATATCCGGCGCGTCTGTTGCCGCAGGTGACGGAGCCATGGGCGTGGACGTAGGGGAGGAGTCGACGCGGCGGCCACATCGCTGCGAGTAGTTTAGGGCATTCTGAAAAGTCACCTGAAAAACCACCTGAGGGTTCTCCAGTGTCGCCTGCGATGGGCGTGGACGTGGGGCAGGAGTCGAAGCGGCAGACGGACGTGGTGTTCGACGGGCACCGATGGACCAAGTACGGCCAGAAGGTGCTGCTGCACTCCAGCTTCGTCAGGTGAGCACTGAGCATATTAATCGGAGTTCTTTGTTGCCCGTCCCGTGTGCTCTAGACACGCCTCAGGAGCCGCGTACGGCCAGAAGGTGCTGCTGCACTCCAGCTTCGTCAGGTGAGCACTGAGCATATTAATCGGAGTTCTTTGTTGCCCGCCCCGTGTGCTCTAGACACGCCTTAGGAGCCGCGTACGGCCAGAAGGTGCTGCTGCACTCCAGCTTCGTCAGGTGAGCACTGAGCATATTAATCGGAGTTCTTTGTTGCCCGTCTCGTGTGCTCTAGACACGCCTTAGGAGCCGCGTACGGCCAGAAGGTGCTGCTGCACTCCAGCTTCGTCAGGTGAGCACTGAGCATATTAATCGGAGTTCTTTGTTGCCCGTCCCGTGTGCTCTAGACACGCCTTAGGAGCCGCGTACGGCCAGAAGGTGCTGCTGCACTCCAGCTTCGTCAGGTGAGCACTGAGCATATTAATCGGAGTTCTTTGTTGCCCGTCCCGTGTGCTCTAGACACGCCTTAGGAGCCGCGTACAGCCAGAAGGTGCTGCTGCACTCCAGCTTCGTCAGGTGAGTGCTGCGTGCCGCGTGCCGCATGCCGCATGCCGCGTGCCGCATGCCGCGTGCCGCATGCCGCGTGCCGCATGCCGCGTGCCGCATGCCGCGTGCCGCATGCCGCGTGCCGCATGCCGCGTGCCGCATGCCGCGTGCCGCATGCCGCGTGCCGCATGCCGCGTGCCGCATGCTGCGTGCCGCATGCTGCGTGCTGCGTGCCGCGTGGTGGAAATACAGGTCCCTGTTTCGTGCCTCGTGTGTTCCTGAGGCGTCTCCGGAACCAAGCACGGCCAGAAGGTGCTGCTGCACTCCAGCTGCATGTGGGGCGTGCTTGTAAGAGAAGGAAAAGGTGCGTGCTTCGTGAGGGGCAACACGATGCTCGTTACAATGCAGCCATGTTACAACAAGGCAGTTCATTACCCCATCCCGCCGCCCCATTCCCTGTTGCAACCTTCCATCCCTGCGTCCCCCCCCCCCCTTCCCCCCCTTCCCCTCCCTCTCTTATCCCCGTTATAAGGTCCTACTACCGCTGCAGCTTCTGCAGCGTGGCGAAGGGTTCCTGCCCGGCGCGCAAGCTAGTGGACCGGCACCCGTCCAACCCCCACGAGATCCGCATCGGGTATCACGGGCGCCACAACCACCCGGGCATCAGCCCCACGTCTCCCACCATCCAGCGCTCCGTCACGCCCCCAAGGGACCTGTCTGAGGCGTCCCACGGCATGGCTGCTGCTGCTGCCGCTGCTCTCGCTGCTGTGGAGGCCACAGCGCCCGGTGCCGTGGAGGGGCGGAGGGGGGGAGATGGTGGGAGGGTAGACGACGAGGGACGGGCCCTGGAGGGAGGTGCGGCATCCCCCTGACGCTTCCCCCTGACGCTTCCCGCGTCCTGTCCCCCTACCCCTCTTCCTTCCTTCCTCCCCTTTTCCATCCCCCACCCCCTTTTCCATCCCCCACCCCCTGTCTCCCTCTCTTCCTCCTCCCGTTCTTCTGTTCTCCTGCATTCTCTCTCACCACTGTGATGGTCTCTTGTCCTTTTGCGGTGCAGGTGCAGCTGGGGAAGGGCAGTCCACGGCAAACGGGGACGCGCACAGCCCGGCAGCGTATGGGGAGGAGGGGGATGAGGGGGGGCAGGATGCGGGGCTGGACCTTGACTACAAGTGAGTGCGCTGCTGCATGGAATGGGTATTTCGAGGCAACTCAAAAGGTGGATTGTGAGCTTTCGAGTCGACTCAAAAGCGAGAGGTGGGTAGCGAGTTTCGTTCCATCAGGAGAGGTGGATAGCGAGTTTCGTTCCATCAGGAGAGTCTCCACGAATCGACCTGAGGCAGCTCCACAAATCGACGACTGCATCTGGAAGTGGGGCAGTAGGCAGACCAGCCTCTCTTGGTGTGTGTATTGAGCTGCATGTACTATCATATCAATTAGTGAATAACTTGCCCCCCTTATTTTTTTCTTCCATTTGTCCTTTTATCCTTTCTTTCTTTCGTTGTTTCACTCCTTTCTTTCCTTCCTTCCTGCGTTCCCCATGTTCTCTCTTCGCCACTGGCCCACGCTACGCTCCCTCTCCCAACCCCCGTCTCCCCATATCACCAGCCTCCAACACGGCAGGAGCTTTGAAGCCATGCTGAGTCGGGGCGAGGACATTCTAGTGGGGTTGGAAGAGGACCTTTGAGGCGCCTCAAAACCCCTCCCCCCAACCTTTCCTTTCCCCAACAAATTTTTCCTCCAACACAACAGGAGCTTTGAGGCCATGCTGAGTCGGGGCGAGGAGATACTAGTGGGGGTGGAAGAGGACGAGGGGGAGGGGGAAGGGGACGGGGAGGGGGGCAACGGGCATGGGGAGGGGCAGGGGGGGGATGGCAGGGGGGAGGCGCAGCAGGGGAGCGAGGGGCAGGGGCGAGGGGGGCAGGAGGAGGTGGACGAGCGGAGCTGGCGGGCGCTGCAGCTGCCAGAGGACGGGTACCTGTGGGACGCGCCCAGGCGCCATAAGCCACTCGTTGGCTCCATGTACATCAGGTGGGCCGCTGTAGGTTAGGGCGTATTTCAGGTAGGTTGTGGGTTAGAGGCGCCTTAAAGCTGTCAACCCCACCCCATGTACATCAGGTGGGGCTGGTCAACCCCACCCCATGTACATCAGGTGGGGCTGGTAGAAACCTCTCCTTCTCGCTCGATTGGTCCCGAAACCATCACCCGCTGCCCAGCGGTGCGTGTGGTTGACGTCCACTGCTGCAACACATCCTCCCTGCACCTCACGTACACTCGCTTTTGAGTTGACTCAAAAGCACATCCTCCCTGCACCTCACGCACACTCGCCCCCACCGCCACCCAGTCCTTCCCATCTTCCCCCCCCCTACAGAGTGGTCTACAGGTGCTCATTCCACCCAGAGCCCAACACTCGCTGCCCAGCGGTGCGCGTGGTGGACATTCACCGCTGCAACGCGTCCTCCCTGCAGCTGACCTACACGCGCCCCCACTGCCACCCCCAGCCAGTCCGCATCCGCCTCACCCGCCGCTCCACCACCCCCCGCGCCTCCACTCCCCCCTCTACCACGCCCCCTTGTACCACCCCCCGCGCCACCACCCCCCGTGCGCGCTCCCTCCCTGGGGGTAGGCGCAAGGGGGAGGGGGGCGGAAGTGGGAAAGGCGGGGGAGGGGCTGGGGAGGGGGGAAAAGCTGGGGAAGCTGGGAGAGCGGAGCAAGGGGGAGTGGGGGAAGGGGCGGAAGCGGAGGTGAGGACGTTGGGGAGGGGGGAGGGCGGGGGAGGGAGTAGGAGCAGCGGGCAGGGAGGGGGGCGGGGCAAGGAGAGGGTAAGGGAGACGGTGAGAGAGGAGCTAGGTATGGGCGAGGGCGCGGGTAGGGTTCTGGGTTCAAATCCTGCAGTGAACGCAGGAGTAGATGGAGAGGTGGGAGCAGGGACGGGTGGGAGTGTTGAGCCGTTGAATGCTGGCACCGTTGGTGGCGGGGGATATGGTGGTGGTGGTGAGGGATATGATGGTGGTGGTGGTGGGGCGTTGGGTGCAGGTGGTGCGTCTGGGGCTAGTGAGGGCTTCGGTGTGGGCCCCCCGCTTAAGAGAGCAAAGATTTCAACTCCTTTTAATCCAGCAGCACCTTCAAACCTAGCAGCACCTTCGAATGTGGCATTCTGCCCGCTCGCACGCACGGTGTCAGGGCAGGACCAGTCGTGGGGGGCCATGATGGGGGCCGGGGGGACCATGGAGTGGGCAGGCGCAGGGGGAGGCAGGGGGACAGCCATGCTGGAGGGAAGGAGTGGAGCAGGAGGAGGGGCAGGAGGGGGGGTGGGAGAGAGGGCGGAAAGAGGGAAGGGGGGAGGAGAGCTGGAAGGAGGGAGGGGGGGAGGAGCACAGGGCGTGGAAGGAGGGTTGACTAGAGCGTTTCGAGAGGCTGAGGCTGGTCAGGGTGCAGCACGGAGTGCGCTTGGGTGTGGCTCGTTACAAGCAGAATCGTTACAGCAGCTGCAACAGTTGCAGCAGCTACAGCGATTGCAACAGTTGCAAGAATCGTCCTGGCAGCAGGGCGAGCAGCACGAGCAGCAGCAGCAGCAGGGGCAGAATGAGGAGGCAGAAGCACGGCAGCAGATGCAGCAGCTGCTGCAACTACAGCAGCTACTGCAGGGAGAGGAGCTGAACCACCTGAAAGACTTGCAGCAGCAGCAGCATCAGCAGCATCAGGAACAGCAGCATCAGCATCATCATCATCAGCAGCAGCAGCTAGGGCAGCAGGAGCAAGAGCAGCAGTTACATCAGCTATCGGAATTGCAGCAGCAGTTGCAGCAGTCGAGAGGAGCAAGCGCACCGAGTAGAGCCGACTCCCTGGCACAAGACATGAAGGGAGGTGCCACCGTGTCAGCAGCTGACGTGGCATGCAAGCGCAACCAGCAAGGTCTGATTGGTCAGCAGCAACCGGGCGCTGCTGGGAGTAAAGATGGTGCTGCCGCTGGTGGTACTAATGCGGGTAATATTGGTGCTGCTGGTGCTGCTGCCACTTGCGCTAGGAGTCATTCCCTACAGCACCAGCACAATCTCTCGCCTGCTGAACTCGTTGCTGCAGCAGCTGCTGCGCTCACTGCTGCTGCTGCCCCCGCCGGAGCTGACTCAAACTCCCCATACATATCACCTCACCAACGCACATCACCGCATTCCACTCCTCTAGACAGCATCACCACCGCAACGCACACCTGCCAGGTCCCCATACCTCCTCGTTTCCCCCCCCCAGGGCTTTCCCTGACTGGCGTTTCTCCTGGTATCTCACCTGGGATTTCACCTGGCGTCTCCTCTTTAGGAGGGGCCTCTGGCAGAAGGTTCGGTACAGACCTATTTCCTGCCGAGCCTCTTTTAGGCTCGGCACCAAAGCTCGCCCGGACCAGTGGCGCCGCCATGGCGGGAGGGATGGTGGCAGGTTCGGGCAGAGGCACAGGAGCGGTAAGAAGGGGAGGTGGGGAAGCAGCAGGAGAAGCAGGGGGAGACGCAGGAGGAGACGCAGGAGGAGACGCAGGAGGAGAGAGGGGGGTGCGGACTCGACCTGCTGCTGCTGCTGCCATGGCTTACCTTGCTGGGGGGCGGTCTGTGTCGGCGCCCCTGCCCATCCCCCGCCAGTCGTCTTTGCCCCACAATGCTGTGTTCCCCTCGTCTCGATCCCTTTCCCCACTGAAAGAGCAGCAGCAACAGCAGCAACAACAGGAGCAACAGCAACAGCAGCAGCAGCAACAGCTGCTGCAACAACAACAGCAGCACCAACAGCTGCTGCTGCTGTTGCAGCAGCAGCAGCAGCAGCAGCAGCTGTCTCGCACGCATTCCCCCACAACCACTCAGGCAGTAGGCCTAGCCCCAACCTCCTCCCCTGCTTCCCCCACTGGTGCTGGCGTGATGACTGGGTTACACTTGCACAACGCACCATCCCCCACCCACAGAATGCCATCACCGGCACACAGGGTACCATCCCCCACCACCACCATAGACCAGCAGCCATGGCCTGCATTGCCCTATTCTGCTCGCTCCCCAGGTGCATTCCCCTCCTCCTCCCCTGCTGGCAGCACCGGCACTGGCCTAAGCACTGGTACTGGGCTAAGCACCGGCACTGGCCTAAGCACTGGTACTGGGCTAAGTGCAGGTGTGGGTTTAAGTACTGGCACTGGGCTTAGCACGGGGGGGCTGAGCACGGGGGCCTTAAGTGGAGGATGGCTGGGAGAGGGGTTCAATGCAATGGGGGCGAGTGGTGGGGCGGACAGCCTGGGAGTGGGGGGAGTTGGGGGAGCGGGGGGAGTCGGGGGATCAAGGGGAGTAGGTGGGTTAGAAACGGGTGGTGGGGCAGAAGGTGTGGGAATCGGAGGGTTAGGAGGCCTTGCAGGGTTTGGGGGTTTTGGTGGGTTGAATAGAGCAGGGCCGGTGGCTGGTGATTGTGCCTTGAATGGGATTGATGAGGCCCTGGGTGGTGGTGGTGGTGTGGATTCCATGGGTGCTGGTATGGGGCGCAGTGCGAGTTCAATAGCGGCTGGGCTGGCCCAGAATCAGCTGCAGCAGATGCTGCTGCAGCAGGAGCAGGAGCGGCTGCAGCGGCAGCAGCTGCAGCTGCAGTTGCAGCAGGAGCGGCTCAAGTGGCAGCAGCAGCAGGAGCTGCTGCGACTGCAGAAGGAGCAAGAGGAGGGAGAGCAGAAAGGGGAGCAAGAGCAGCTGTTTGGAGGGCGGGAGATGCATGAGCAGCAGCAACAGACCAACTCACAGCAGCAGCAGGAGCAACAGGAGCAGGAGCATCAGCAACAGCAGCAGCAGTTGCAGCAGCAGGAGGAGCAGCAGCAACACTTGCGGCAGCAGGAGCAGGAGCAGCAGAAGCAGGAGCGGCAGCAGGAGCAGCCGATTTTTGCACGAAGGATGCTGGCCCGGCAAGGTCTCCTAGAGCGGCTCCCTAGCGATGCGTCAACTGCCGGCAACCTGGCGAGCGTGCGAGGATTCAGCCTGCTGCACATGCAAGCTGGTGCTGACGCAGAGGGAGAGGCCTTTGCGGCAGGAGCAGCTGCTGCTGATTTCCCTCTAGGGGTTGCGGCAGAGCTGGGCGCATCCACAGGCGTTTCTGTAGGCGTTTCGGGGGGATTTGCTGACCCAGCTGTCTCTGCCGGTAGCAATGCGCGGCCAGCCTGGTTGGGAGCAAGGGAGGCAGCAGCAGCAATTGAACTGGAGCCTCCTGACGACCTCCCCTCCTTCCTTAGGGATATCCAAGCAGGGGGGTTAACCATGCTGGGGGGGGAACAGGGGGGAGGCGCAGCAGGGGGAGGGGGAACAGCAGCAGCAGCTGGGGTGGCAGGGAGGGAGACAGTGGCGCGGCTAGCATCAATGGAGGGACGAGAGTTGCAGAACCTGCTTCGGTTTGGCAGCATGGGGGGGCTGCTAGCCCCGCCACTTACCAGGCTGGGTTCCCTGGCAGCAGGAGGGGGGGCAGCAGCAGTGGAGGGAGCAGCAGCAGCAGTGGAGGCAGCAGCAGCAGCAGTGGCAGGGAGGGAGTCAGTGGCGCGACTATCGTCAGTGGACGGGCAAGGGCTGCAAAACCTGCTGCGGTTTGGCAGCATGGGGGGGCTGCTGGCCCCGCCGCTTACTAGGTTGGGTTCCCAGGCAGCAGCAGCTGCTGCGGCTGCTGGTGCAGCGGCTGGTGCTCAGAGACGAAGTCCCGAGCGTCCCTCCTTGGACCCAGCAGCAGCAGCCCCAGCAGCAGCAGCCCCAGCAGCAGCAGCAGCAGCAGCAGGAACAACAGCTGCTGCTCTCTCGAAACCTCCTCGCAACCGCTCTCCCCCGCGTCGCCCCTCCATCTCTCCACCCACCCATCGCCATCCCTCCCCTCTGTCTGGTCGCCCCCCCTCCCCGCCCTCTCATCCCTCCCTCTCCCCTCCCAAGCGCCGCTCCCTCTCTCCCCCCACCCATCGCCTTGCCCGAGTTGATTCTCTAGCCTCCAATTCCCCTCCCCCCCCGCCCCCATGGGGAAAAGCACAGGCAAGGTATGGGGAAGGCATGGGCGAAGGAGGGGGAGAAGGAGGGGGGGAAGGAGGGGGAGAAGGAGCGGGGGAAGGAGGGGGAGAAGGAGGGGGGGAAGGGGGGGAAAAAGGAGGGGGAGTGAGGGGTGGTGGACTGGGGATGGGCGGGCATGGGGGAAAGGAGGCACCCAGCAGCAACAGGCGAGGAGATCTCCTGACTCTGCTGCGGTATGGCAGCATGGGAGAACTCATTCTCGCCTCCAGGTCTCCTCCCTCTTCCCCACTTCCTGCTGGCTCTCTCCCCGGTGCCTCCCCTCTTGCCCCTCGAGGGAATTCCGCCCATCCCACTTCTCCTGGCAGCGGCCCAACTCCAGACATACGCACTGCTGCTGCAGCACCTGTTGCTGCTGCGAATGCTAGCGATGCTGCTGCGGAAGGCGGGCTGGGATTAAATGGGCAAGGCACGGTGCCTGGGCGCAATGCAACCATTATCAGGTAGTGGGATTGTTATTCTGTTATTGATAAACAATCGCTGCAGGCACCATTCTGTTATTGATCCATGGCTGCGTTCTGTTTTCTTCCCTTTTTTGTTTGTTTGTTTTTGTTTTTTGTTTTTCCTTTTTCCATGAATCAGGATCAGGTTGGTGCACATCCCGCTGCGTATACTACTCCTGCTTGCCTTCCGCGTCTGCCCAATCACACTCACCACTTCTCGCCGCTTTCCTTTAACCTCTTTTCCACAATTCCTACCTCACGTGACTCCCCACCCCTTCCCCCTCCATTTTCTCATCGTCCCCCCTCCACCCCCCCACTTCCCCATCCGTCTTTCCCCCATGCGTTCCCTCCTCCCCTCTCCTCCCCCCTGCCTGCCACAAACAGCAGCCAGCCCAAAGTGGAGGCGGCATGGGCAGAAACGGGTCGCAAGGAGATTACTCACGCTGCCACGGGCCGGCGCGTGGACAGGTGGGCGCATGGACAGGTGGGCGCGTGGGGAGAGGTGGGCGAGTGGGGAGAGGTGGGCACATGGGGAGAGGTGGGCACATGGGGCGAGGTGGGTGAGTGTACAGGTGGGTACTCGTGAGGTAGATTCATGGAGGTGGTGGTTGTTAGGTGCCTCAGCACTGGTCCATACATTGCATTGCATGGCATGGCATGGCATGGCATTGCATTGCATGGCATTGCATTGCATGGCATTGCATTGCATTGCATTGCATTGCATTGCATTGCATTGCATTGCATTGCATTGCATTGCATTGCATTGCATGGCATTGCATTGCATGGCATTGCATGGCATTGCATTGCATTGCATTGCATTGCATTGCATTGCATTGCATGGCATTGCATTGCATTGCATTGCATTGCATTGCATTGCATGGCATTGCATTGCATTGCATGGCATTGCATTGCATTGCATTGCATTGCATTGCATTGCATTGCATGGCATTGCATGGCATTGCATTGCATGGCATTGCATTGCATGGCATTGCATTGCATGGCATTGCATTGCATGGCATTGCATTGCATTGCATTGCATTGCATTGCATTGCATTGCATTGCATTGCATTGCATTGCATTGCATTGCATGGCATTGCATTGCATGGCATTGCATTGCATTGCATTGCATTGCATTGCATTGCATTGCATGGCATTGCATTGCATTGCATTGCATTGCATTGCATTGCATGGCATTGCATTGCATTGGCATTGCATGCATTGCATTGCATTGCATTGCATTGCATTGCATTGCATTGCATTGCATTGCATTGCATTGCATTGCATTGCATTGCATTGCATTGCATTGCATTGCATGGCATTGCATGGCATTGCATTGCATTGCATTGCATTGCATTGCATGGCATTGCATTGCATTGCATTGCATTGCATTGCATTGCATGGCATTGCATTGCATTGCATGGCATTGCATTGCATTGCATTGCATTGCATTGCATTGCATTGCATTGCATTGCATTGCATTGCATTGCATTGCATTGCATTGCATTGCATTGCATGGCATTGCATTGCATTGCATTGCATTGCATTGCATTGCATTGCATGGCATTGCATTGCATTGCATGGCATTGCATTGCATTGCATTGCATTGCATTGCATTGCATTGCATTGCATTGCATTGCATTGCATTGCATTGCATGGCATTGCATTGCATTGCATTGCATTGCATTGCATTGCATTGCATTGCATTGCATTGCATTGCATTGCATTGCATGGCATTGCATTGCATTGCATTGCATTGCATTGCATTGCATTGCATTGCATTGCATTGCATTGCATTGCATTGCATTGCATGGCATTGCATTGCATTGCATTGCATTGCATGGCATTGCATTGCATTGCATTGCATTGCATTGCATTGCATTGCATGGCATTGCATTGCATTGCATTGCATGGCATTGCATTGCATTGCATTGCATTGCATTGCATTACATTGCATTGCATTGCATTGCATTGCATGGCGATACACGAGAACCTAGCCTGATATGGCTTCTTTCTTGTGGGTGATTTCTTAGTCGACTCAAAAATCAGGTGGTTGTGCAGCGGTTCTGCACTAGTCCATGTGTTGCGTTACATGAGAACTCAACCTGATATGACTCCTTTCTCCTGCTTCCCCACGTTTGCTATCTTGCCTTCCCTGAAGCAGGTTTTATTTCGGCTGCTCCGTTCTGGGCTGCCCGGCACGCAAAGTCGTGGATGTTCAGCTGCCCAGCTGCCGACCTATGAGCCCAGCTGTAGTGGATAGTGTGTATTGCAGGGGGGAGGGGGCGGGGGAGAGAGGGAGAGAGGAAGGGGAGGAGAGAAGGGAGCGGATGGAGGAGAGTGGTGGGGAGGGCGGTGCAGGGGAAGGAACGATGAGTGAGCGAGGGAGGGGGAGCGGCACACGCATGCATGGCAAGACGAATGGAATGGAGTCGGGTGCAGCAGGGGGAGGGAACGACTGGGAGGGGGAGGTCACCGGGCAGGTGACAGAAACGTTCTACGGATTCCATCTGGGGCACCCCCCCCCCTCCCCCTCCTCTCTCTTCCGCTCCTCACCCACCGCTGCTGCTGCTGCTGCCGCCGTCACGGCCTCTGGAGCTCCACCAGTGGCCCAGGCCGGCTTTGACGTGCCTCGGAGTAACGCTGTTGCTGTTGCTGGCGGTCCCCTGCCATCAGCCCCGGCAGGATTTGAGGCGAGATTTGGAGCACCTCGACGCACCATCCACCGAGTCTCCTCCCTCCCACCTACCTCCTCCTTACCACTGCCCTTGTCTCGAGGCGTTCCTGTCACACCCGCTGCTGCTGCTCCTCCTGCTGCTGCTTCTGCTGCTGCGGCTGCTGCTGCTGCGGCTGCTGCTGCTGCGGCTGCTGCTGCTGCGGCTTGTGCTAATGCAAGTGTGCCTGACCCTTTTTACTCCAGTGCTCGTCCCATCGCCGCTGCCCTTCCAACCACACCTGGTCCTCCCCTTGGGTCACTCAAACGATCAATCGGGCTTCCCCACTCTCCGTTGCGGTCCGGATCGCAATCCCCCATCCCCCAGTCCCCCACCCATCCCGCACACCCCACCTACCAGCCCTCCCCCCCAGCCTCATCTCCCCAATCTCCCCTCACCTCTGCACCCACCTCCTCCCCTGCCTCGTCCAACCTGCTCGCCCCTCTCCCGCGCTCCCTCACTCGCCAGAAACCCGTGCCTTCTCTCTCTCCCAACCGCGACTCCTTTCCGGGCAGCTATGATGGAAACGGACAGTTGGAAGGCATGCAAGATGAATACGCCAGCTAGGCGAACAGGCTGGCTTTTTGCAAGTGGTTATGGCAGTGATGTAAGGCAAGGTGGGTTTTGCATGGTCTGCCAGCTGTTTACCCCCAGGAAAACAAGGTTACATTCTATATATTGTGACATCTTTGTTTGAATCATCATTGTCACAGTCAACCTCAATCCCCCAGACCTGGACGCTTTCACGGGGAGCTGCTGGACCAATCGGTTCACAGGGTTCTGATCTGAATTCGTCAGTCACAAACGGTTGGACACATGGAAAGAAAATGCTATAAATAGGCTATCCTAGCTCAACTTGCCAATGATGAGACCCCCCTACACAAGCAGCATCAGCACCTGGATGGTAGATGCCCTCTGTTCCAAAACCCTCCCTCTTACCGAAGATCCCCGTAACGCGTATCACTGCATCACAACTTCCAACCTGTCGGCCAGCGACAGAATTTGTCGCAGAAGCGCGACCTTTTGCTTCGCACAAGCGCTCGCAGCCTCCGCAGCTTTGTCACCCTCGGGTCCCCCCCGCGCAACCTTGCTCCCGCACGCGTGGCAGCAGACGCCCTTCACGATGATTTTTCGCAGCTTCGGGCAGTGCAGCGCGATCGTTGCAACTGCCCCCGCGTCGAAATCCACGTCGGTCAGCACTAAAACTTCAAGCTCGCGATGGAAAACAGTTGCGCCGGACGCTGCTGCGAACGGGCAGCTGTTCGCGAGAGCGCCGGGGGTTTGGATCGACCCACCGACGAGCTCCAGAAGTCGCAAGCCCGCGCATTTGCGAAGGGCGAAGAGATCGTCGACCTCGAGCGCGCCGTTGTGAATTCGAAGGCACGTCAGATCCCTCCACGCGATCACCATGAGGTAAATCGCCTGCTTCGTTACACTGTTTCGCGAAAGACTCGCGAAGTGTCGCACGTTTCGGAAGCCCGAAGTGAGATACCACATGCACCGCGTCTCAAGCGCCCCGAACGACGTCTCTACACCCGCTGACGTCAGCTCGATGCTCTGAACCTGCTTGCAATAAAGCGAAATAATCCATAGAATACTGCAGATCGACGCTTCGTTCCGGCTCGTGCTATCCTGATCGCAGTCGATGACCACATGGCGTAGCGACTCGCCGCACGAGACTATAATCGGGTGCAGCACGTGCAGCTCGCAGCGCGGGTCGTCGATAAATAAGTCCGTCAGCTGCGCGCAACGCGGAGCCAATTGCTCGACGCCTGCGTGCATGCTGCCCGGGCCGATGCGCAGCTTGGTCCAGAACACCCGGCTGTAGCACAGCTTCCGCCACGTGGCGTTCACGCACGCGTACCGGCATAGGTCCCACGCCGTCGGCTGCCCCTCCTGGAGAATCTTTAGCAGAAGATCCTCTCCCAGGTCGGTCAGCGACGGCCCGTCGGAAGTTTCTTCTGCCCCGGGCAGCGCGTCCGAGTCCGCCCGCGCCTTGAAGAAGTCTATCTGCTTGGGCGCGCATTCTGGGGCGGCGGCGGCGGCGGCGGCGGCAGCGGGGGAAACGAAAGGGTTAGCCGACGGGAGCGCGGGCACGGGCGCGGTTACGGGGGCAGGCGCATTGGCGTCGAATGCGGCGTGCGACGGGGGAAAGTTAAGATTTTCGATGATCCTGCGTTTCTTGGATAAGGCGTCCGGGTGGGCGGGGTCGGAATCATGATGGCGGCTCTGGCGGCGAGTTCCCGCGGAGCCGAGCGTGAAGAGCTCAGACAGACTGACGCCCATGGAGGAGGGCTGCTTCAAGAAGTTGAGGAGAGGCGAGATGAGGAGATCGTTGGGTTAGGACTACGGTATCTTCAGATTCGTGGCGTGAGCTGAACTTGCTGCCGTTGCTAGAGCCTACCAAAAAGCAAATCTGCTACGATTGCGAAGAAGGGATATCGAACAGCTGGCGCTGGGACGGCCTTTATGGAGCGACGCTGGGGCCCCTGGGAGGGGGGGGGGGGGGGTGGGGGTGGGGAAAGGGAGGGAGCACAGCTGAAGCGCAGGAATTTGCGGGATGAGGGGAGGGAGGGGGGTTGGATGAGATGAGATGAGGTGGACGCCAAGTCTGGGGTGGCACTGTGGCTGATGGATGTGTGGGACCGGGAGGCATTCGTTCACCCCCGCCAGGCTTGGCCATGGCCCCCGCCCCGGACGCGAAGAGGTTGATGAGGGTGTAGGTTGGGCAATGGCTTGGTTGGTGGCCTGGTTGGTGGTAGTATGGATGCGGTTTGGTTGGGTTTCTGAAAGCGTCACCGTAACATACCACATCTCATCCTATCTAAACCTATCTGGTTTTGCCCCCGTTGCCCCTTTTGTCTCCGAGCCAAATCCTTCAGGACTGCCGCCTCGCCCTACCTCCTTCCTCCCCTCCCCTAGCTGGACGCGCTTGGTTGAGCGGCTTCACGTGCACCCGTCCACGTTACATACCCCTTCCACAGTGGTGCTGTCACTCTCCCGACTGAGGCTGTCCTTGCAGCTTCAGGGACAAACAAGTCATCATCATGCATTGGACCGCAATGACCAAGTGGATGCTCGGTTTGGCAGTTACGCAAAGGCGCAACACCAACCAAGCTTGCTATCAGTGCTGTATATTAATTGGGTAAAACCTGTGAAATTCAGACCTACGCACGGCTTGCTAGTTTCCCCATACTCCGAACACGAATGGGACTCCTGCCCGCCCCCTCCATCCTTCTTGACAGCCATCCCCCCCTCCGCCGCCTCCCTTTCACTATCTAGATTCTTACCGACAGCCGAGCATTTTCAGTATGGTTTTTCGTGACCTATAAATTCAGTATTGCTTTTCGACCACCCGGAAACGTCCTCCCGGGCATCGTTGTGTCCCGCGCATTCGCGAAACCCGACGACATGAGTGAGACGAGACGACACTTGCGGGTGGAGGAGAGGAGTTTGCATCACCAGTGAACAAGCAGGTTCGGTCAGACTATGTGTTCGTTGGGATTCTGATTCGGGAAATTTTTCACTCCGCGTTGACTGCGTATCCTAGCAAACAAGCCGTTGGTAAGAAACAAACATTTTTTGGTGAAGTTTTCAGACCAAAAAGGTTTTGGTGTCCGGGTGGGTTCACATCACATACAGCCAGCACGGGCAAAAAGTATTTTCTAGCAAGCCAACGAAATTCCCATCGAAGCTTCGATTTGCATGTGATTTTGATGATTGTGCCTCAACAGCTGGCAAAATTTCACGAGGTCCAGGCAAGGACGTAATTGTCCGATTCTACAGAGCCTGACACGATGATTCACGTTGCGACACCCTTGGGGCAGCTTTTGGACAGCGGAGGTGCGGAGAATGATGCGAGAGGGCGCGCTTCAATGATTTCTGAAGCATTCACTTGCCTCGTGCGTTGAACAGTACCCGAGACCAAACGACTTGCCTTCAGCAGCTCAAATTCGTTTGTAACATAAAGTAGCCCCATACTTCAAGGGATGCGGCTGTTTATAGCGCACCGAGGTTAATGAGTTTCTATTACTGAGGAAACATGTTTGGATAAAGCACAATGTGTCATCCAGTCTCTATGGTTCTGCGTAGTTTGACTTTCGAAAGCGTTGTACTCGCAGTACGCGAAAACGGGGCAGCAAGGAACTGATAAACATAAATCAGCAGCCCAGCATGTTCACGGAATTTCGCTCGAAGTTTCGCATAATTCCCCGCCACAACTGGGCTGAGGAGGAGGCGTGCAAAGTGGCGCCGCACTCACACTCGATTGAACAGTAGTGTCCCGTGTGGCAGCCACACCGAAGCCTTATCCAAGTGACGTTTGGAAAAAGGCTTGTTTGCAAGGGCTATTTCTACGATTAAAATAACACCCCCTTTAAATTTCTGGTGCCGAGAATGTATCACCCCCAGATGTATATGGTGATGACTTCAAGAATCGTAGCAACAAGTGTTTAGGCTAGGTTACCACAAAGTCATAATATCGTCAGCCTCGCATAGCGACACTTCAAGGCTTGTACGAAAGCTTCTAGGCTCGCCCATTTGAGGGCAGAATGCTAGCCGCAACCCTCTCCGCCCCATCCCGCCCCACTACAACCTACTCCACCCTCAACCCTCCACACACCTCGCAGAGGGGACGCTATGGGGTGTGACATGCCACTCCAAGGCGGCCATTCCAAGAGGACTCTTATGCTCGTTTAGTAGGTTAGCCTCCTCTTACCGGTGCGATTCTTATGGCGTACAAGTCGCCAGGTCCGCTGGCTGGCCTATAGGGCCGTTTCTACTCCCTCGTCCCCTGCACCGTTAGTAACGCGCTTCACTCTATTTCCCCTCGCGCACACTCTCATTGGTTCGCCAGTAGACCATAGGGTCGCCAGTAGAACATAGGGTCGCCTGAGGCGCGCCGAGCAATCTGCCTGCATGCAGGCGGAGCGCACCCACGCTCAGCAATGGACCCTCTCGTCCGCCTCCTCCGCCCGCCTCCCGCGCATCGCAAATCCCCCCGCCTCGCCAATCCCCCCGCCTCGCCAATCCCCCTCGCCTCGCCAATCCCCCTCGCCTCGCCAACCCTCCGCGCATCGCCCCGCGCTTGAAAGACCCGCCCTGCCTGACTGCCGCTCCGCCACCCGCGGGTTCCGCCACTTCCGGGCCTTCCGGGACCTCCGCGCCAGCCCCGCCTCCCCTTGCGGCGCAGAGCGCGGGGGAGCGGGGCGTGCTTGCGGTCTACGAGGCGCTGTCGGCGCGCGAGAGGCGCAAGCTGCGCTCCGCGCTGTTCCCCCTGAGAGCGCGCGCGGCGGAATCGGACAGCGCGGTCTGGCAGGCGAGCTGGGGGGTGCTGGCGCGCGCTGTTGCGCAGGAATTGGTGAGCGGGGGGGAATCGTCGCTCTTCCCCTCTCACCCACTCCCCTTGTACACTCACCCCCATCCCTCCCCTCTCTCCTCTCTCCCCCCGACCCCCCCCCCCCCCCACCACCCTTCCACCCCCCTCCTCCCCCTCTTCCCTATTCCCAGGGCGAGCCAGACACACGCGGGAGAGGCGGGGGGGAAGGGGCGGGGGAAGGCAAAGGGGGGAGGTGCGACGCGGCAGCACAGGGAGGAGAAGTGGGGGGGCGGAAGGTGGGAGAGCGACAGCGAGTGGAGGGGCAGGTGCTATCTGTGGTGGAGGTGTTATCTGAAGGGGTGGTGAGAGTGGGTAAAGGAGGAGCAGGGGCAGCAGTAGAGGGGCCAACAGTAGGGGGAGCAGTGGGGCCAGCAGAGGTGGAGGACATGGTGTGGGCGCCCTTTGTCAAGTACCACCAGCTGCTGCTGACTGCCCACCACTGGAGCAGTTTCGTGCCCCTATTGCTAAAGCTGGTAAGCAACGCGAAGGCATGGTAGAGATATGGTACAGGTACGGTAGAGGTACGGTAGAGGTATGGTAGAGGTACGGTAGCGGTATGGTAGAGGTATGGTAGCGGTACTGTTGCGGAATGGTAGCAGGGCAGCAGCAGGGGCAGCAGTGGGGCCAGCAGAAGCAGGGATCATGGTACAGGCGCCCACATACCTGCCCCTACATGGCACAAGGTGACTTTTGAGTCGACTCAAAAGCAGCAGGGGCAGCAGTGGGGCCAGCAGAAGCAGGGATCATGGTACAGGCGCCCACATACCTGCCCCTACATGGCACAAGGTGACTTTTGAGTCGACTCAAAAGCAGCAGGGGCAGCAGTGGGGCCAGCAGAAGCAGGGATCATGGTACAGGCGCCCACATACCTGCCCCTACATGGCACAAGGTGACTTTTGAGTCGACTCAAAAGCAGCAGGGGCAGCAGTGGGGCCAGCAGAAGCAGGGATCATGGTACAGGCGCCCACATACCTGCTCCTACATGGCACAAGGTGACTTTTGAGTCGACTCAAAAGCAGCAGGGGCAGCAGTGGGGCCAGCAGAAGCAGGGATCATGGTACAGGCGCCCACATACCTGCCCCTACATGGCACAAGGTGACTTTTGAGTCGACTCAAAAGCAGCAGGGGCAGCAGTGGGGCCAGCAGAAGCAGGGATCATGGTACAGGCGCCCACATACCTGCTCCTACATGGCACAAGGTGACTTTTGAGTCGACTCAAAAGCAGCAGGGGCAGCAGTGGGGCCAGCAGAAGCAGGGATCATGGTACAGGCGCCCACATACCTGCCCCTACATGGCACAAGGTGACTTTTGAGTCGACTCAAAAGCAGCAGGGGCAGCAGTGGGGCCAGCAGAAGCAGGGATCATGGTACAGGCGCCCACATACCTGCCCCTACATGGCACAAGGTGACTTTTGAGTCGACTCAAAAGCAGCAGGGGCAGCAGTGGGGCCAGCAGAAGCAGGGATCATGGTACAGGCGCCCACATACCTGCCCCTACATGGCACAAGGTGACTTTTGAGTCGACTCAAAAGCAGCAGGGGCAGCAGTGGGGCCAGCAGAAGCAGGGATCATGGTACAGGCGCCCACATACCTGCCCCTACATGGCACAAGGTGACTTTTGAGTCGACTCAAAAGCAGCAGGGGCAGCAGTGGGGCCAGCAGAAGCAGGGATCATGGTACAGGCGCCCACATACCTGCTCCTACATGGCACAAGGTGACTTTTGAGTCGACTCAAAAGCAGCAGGGGCAGCAGTGGGGCCAGCAGAAGCAGGGATCATGGTACAGGCGCCGATTGTGAAACAACATCAGCTGCTGCTGAATGCGCTGCACTGCACCAGATTCGTGCCCCTGCTGCTGAAGTTGGTTGGTTGGGCTTTAACCAGTCATTCTGCCGGGGGGCCCTGGTTCACTTCCTCACTGCCATGCTCACACACCTGCCCCCACACACCTGCCCCCACATACCTGCCCCACACACCTGCCCTGTCCCCACCACATACCTGCCCCACACACCTGCCCCCACATACCTGCCCCCACATACCTGTCACTGCCATCCACACGAACCACCCATCTCCATTGCTCTTCCCCTGTGCGCTTGTTGAGAAGTCTCCTCTCCTCTACAAGACTGCTCTGCCACGTGCACATTCTTGCGGTTATTTCTTTCACTCTGCCCGTCGGCCATCAGGTGGCGAGGCACGGAGCGCTGCTATTGGGCAAGCGCAGCAACGGGCAGCTGGTGAAGAACACGAGCCACTGGCTGCTGCACTGCGCGGTCTTTCCACCCGACAAAGCCGTCAGGGAGCGAGCGCTGGTGGGCCTGCTCATCCTCATAGCGGTGAGTTGACCTTCCAGAGTCCTTCCTTTGGACCGATTCAGTGGTGAAGGGCACAGTGCACTGCCTGCTGCTCTGCGTGGTCTTTCCGCCCGGCCAGGCCGTCAGGGAGCGAGCATAAGTGGTCCCGCTTGTCCTCATAGCGGTGAGTTGGCTGTTGAGAATACAAGTGTCGAGGAGCGCGATTCACTGGCTGCTGCACTGCACGGCCTTTGCAGGCGACCAGGGGAGGAGGGTTCAGGGAATTTGAGGGAGTGTTCAGGGAATCATGGAGGGAGGGGTTCAGGGAATCATGGGAGGGAGGGGTTCAGGGAATCATGGAGGGAGGGGTTCGGAATCATGGAGGGAGGGGGTTCAGGGAATCATGGGAGGGAGGGGTTCAGGGAATCATTGGAGGGAGGGGTTCAGGGAAATCATTGGAGGGAGGGGGTTCAGGGAATCATTGGGGGAGGGGTTCAGGATCATGGGAAGGGAGGGTCAGCGGAATCATGGGAGGGAGGGTTCAGGGAACATGGGGAGGGGAGGGGTTCAGGGATCATTGGAGGGAGGGGTTAGGGAAGGGGGGGGGGGGGGGGGGGGGGGGGTCATTGGAGGGAAGGGGTTCAGGGAACATGGGAGGAGGGGTTCAGGGATATTGGAGGGAGGGGGTTCAGGGAATCATTGGAGGGAGGGGGTTCAGGGAATCATGGAGGGAGGGGTTTCAGGGAATCATGGGAGGGGGGGGGGGGGGGAGGGGGGGGGGGGGGGGTTCAGGGAATATCATTGGAGGGAGGGGTTCAGGGATCATGGGAGGAGGGTTCAGGGAATCATTGGAGGGAGGGGTTCAGGGAATATTCATTGGGAGGGAGGGGTTCAGGGAATCAATCTGGAGGAGGGGTTCAGGGAATCATTGGAGGGAGGGGTTCAGGGAATCATTGGGAGGGAGGGGTTCAGGGAATCATGGAGGGAGGGGTTCAGGAATCATGGGAGGGAGGGGTTCAGGGGAATCATTGGAGGGAGGGGTTCAGGGAATCATGGGAGGGAGGGGTTCAGGGAATCCATGGGGAGGGAGGGGTTCAGGGAATCATGGAGGGAGGGGTTCAGGGAATCATGGAGGGAGGGGTTCAGGGAATCATTGGAGGGAGGGGTTAGGGATCATGGGGGAGGGTTCAGGGTCATGGGAGGGAGGGGTTGGGTCATGGGAGGAGGGGTTAGGGAACAATTGGAGGGAGGGGTTAGGGAATCATGGAGGGAGGGGTTCAGGGATCATGGAGGGAGGGGTTCAGGGACATGGAGGGAGGGGTTCAGGGAACATGGAGGGAGGGGTTCAGGGAATCATGGGAGGGAGGGGTGGGAATCATTGGGGAGGGGTTCAGGGAATCAATATGGGAGGGAGGGGTTCAGGGAATCATTGGAGGGAGGGGTTCAGGGAATCATGGAGGGAGGGGTTCAGGGAATCATGGGAGGAGGGGTTCAGGGAATCATTGGAGGGAGGGGTCAGGGAATCATGGGAGGGAGGGGTTCAGGGAATCATTGGGAGGGAGGGGTTCAGGGAATCATGGGAGGGAGGGGTTTCAGGGAATCATTGGAGGGAGGGGTTCAGGGAATCATGGGAGGGAGGGTTCAGGGAATCATTGGAGGGAGGGGTTCAGGGAAATCAATATTGGAGGGAGGGGTTCAGGGCGGAATCAGGGAAGGGAGGGGGTTCAGGGGAATCATTGGAGGGAGGGGTTCAGGGAATCATTATTGGGCAGGGGAGGGGTTCAGGGAATCATTGGAGGGAGGGGTTCAGGGAATCATTGGAGGGAGGGGTTTCAGGGGGGAAATCATTGGGAGGGAGGGGTTCAGGGAATCATTGGAGGGAAGGGGTTCAGGGAATCATGGGAGGGAGGGGTTCAGGGAATCATTGGAGGGAGGGGTTCAGGGAATCATGGGGGAGGGGAGGGAGGGAGGGGTTCAGGGAATCATGGGAGGGAGGGGTTCAGGGAATCATTGGGGAGGGGAGGGTATTTAATCAGGGGAAATCATGGAGGGAGGGGTTCAGGGGAATCATTGGAGGGAGGGTTCAGGGAATCATGGGAGGGAGGGGTTCAAGGGCGGAATTCAATCATGGAGGGAGGGGTTCAGGGAATCATGGAGGGAGGGGTTCAGGGAATCATTGGGAGGGAGGGGTTCAGGGAATCATTGGAGGGAGGGGGGGTCATAAGGGGTTCAGGAATCATTGGAGGGAGGGGTTCAGGGAATCATGGAGGGAGGGTTCAGGGAATATGAGGGAGGGGTTCAGGGAATCATTGGGAGGGAGGGGTTCAGGGGAATCATGGGAGGGAGGGGTTCAGGGAATCATGGAGGGAGGGGTTCAGGGAATCATTGGAGGGAGGGGTTTTCAGGGAATCATGGGAGGGAGGGGTTCAGGGAATCATGGAGGGAGGGGTTCAGGGAATCATGGAGGGAGGGGTTCAGGGAATCATTGGAGGGAGGGGTTCAGGGAATCATGGAGGGAGGGGTTCAGGGAATCATTGGAGGGAGGGGTTCAGGGAATCATTGGAGGGAGGGGTTCAGGGAATCATTGGAGGGAGGGGTTCAGGGAATCATTGGAGGGAGGGGTTCAGGGAATCATTGGAGGGAGGGGTTCAGGGAATCATTGGAGGGAGGGGTTCAGGGAATCATTGGAGGGAGGGGTTCAGGGAATCATGGAGGGAGGGGTTCAGGGAATCATGGGAGGGAGGGGTTCAGGGAATCATTGGAGGGAGGGGTTCAGGGAATCATGGAGGGAGGGGTTCAGGGAATCATGGAGGGAGGGGTTCAGGGAATCATTGGAGGGAGGGGTTCAGGGAATCATGGGAGGGAGGGGTTCAGGGAATCATGGAGGGAGGGGTTCAGGGAATCATGGGAGGGAGGGGTTCAGGGAATCATTGGAGGGAGGGGTTCAGGGAATCATGGGAGGGAGGGGTTCAGGGAATCATTGGAGGGAGGGGTTCAGGGAATCATGGAGGGAGGGGTTCAGGGAATCATTGGAGGGAGGGGTTCAGGGAATCATTGGAGGGAGGGGTTCAGGGAATCATTGGAGGGAGGGGTTCAGGGAATCATTGGAGGGAGGGGTTCAGGGAATCATTGGAGGGAGGGGTTCAGGGAATCATGGAGGGAGGGGTTCAGGGAATCATGGAGGGAGGGGTTCAGGGAATCATTGGAGGGAGGGGTTCAGGGAATCATGGAGGGAGGGGTTCAGGGAATCATTGGAGGGAGGGGTTCAGGGAATCATGGGAGGGAGGGGTTCAGGGAATCATTGGAGGGAGGGGTTCAGGGAATCATGGAGGGAGGGGTTCAGGGAATCATTGGAGGGAGGGGTTCAGGGAATCATGGGAGGGAGGGGTTCAGGGAATCATTGGAGGGAGGGGTTCAGGGAATCATGGAGGGAGGGGTTCAGGGAATCATTGGAGGGAGGGGTTCAGGGAATCATTGGAGGGAGGGGTTCAGGGAATCATTGGAGGGAGGGGTTCAGGGAATCATGGGAGGGAGGGGTTCAGGGAATCATTGGAGGGAGGGGTTCAGGGAATCATTGGAGGGAGGGGTTCAGGGAATCATTGGAGGGAGGGGTTCAGGGAATCATGGAGGGAGGGGTTCAGGGAATCATGGAGGGAGGGGTTCAGGGAATCATTGGAGGGAGGGGTTCAGGGAATCATTGGAGGGAGGGGTTCAGGGAATCATTGGAGGGAGGGGTTCAGGGAATCATGGAGGGAGGGGTTCAGGGAATCATGGAGGGAGGGGTTCAGGGAATCATGGAGGGAGGGGTTCAGGGAATCATTGGAGGGAGGGGTTCAGGGAATCATGGGAGGGAGGGGTTCAGGGAATCATTGGGAGGGAGGGTTCAGGGAATCATGGAGGGAGGGGTTCAGGGAATCATTGGAGGGAGGGGTTCAGGGAATCATGGAGGGAGGGGTTCAGGGAATCATGGAGGGAGGGGTTCAGGGAATCATTGGAGGGAGGGGTTCAGGGAATCATTGGAGGGAGGGGTTCAGGGAATCATTGGAGGGAGGGGTTCAGGGAATCATTGGAGGGAGGGGTTCAGGGAATCATTGGAGGGAGGGGTTCAGGGAATCATGGAGGGAGGGGTTCAGGGAATCATTGGAGGGAGGGGTTCAGGGAATCATTGGAGGGAGGGGTTCAGGGAATCATGGGAGGGAGGGGTTCAGGGAATCATTGGGAGGGAGGGGTTCAGGGAATCATTGGGAGGGAGGGGTTCAGGGAATCATTGGAGGGAGGGGTTCAGGGAATCATTGGAGGGAGGGGTTCAGGGAATCATTGGAGGGAGGGGTTCAGGGAATCATTGGAGGGAGGGGTTCAGGGAATCATTGGAGGGAGGGGTTCAGGGAATCATGGGAGGGAGGGGTTCAGGGAATCATGGAGGGAGGGGTTCAGGGAATCATTGGAGGGAGGGGTTCAGGGAATCATTGGAGGGAGGGGTTCAGGGAATCATGGGAGGGAGGGGTTCAGGGAATCATTGGAGGGAGGGGTTCAGGGAATCATGGAGGGAGGGGTTCAGGGAATCATTGGAGGGAGGGTTCAGGGAATCATGGAGGGAGGGGTTCAGGGAATCATTGGAGGGAGGGGTTCAGGGAATCATTGGAGGGAGGGGTTCAGGGAATCATTGGAGGGAGGGGTTCAGGGAATCATTGGAGGAGGGGTTCAGGGAATCATTGGAGGGAGGGGTTCAGGGAATCATTGGAGGGAGGGGTTCAGGGAATCATTGGAGGGAGGGGTTCAGGGAATCATTGGAGGGAGGGGTTCAGGGAATCATTGGAGGGAGGGGTTCAGGGAATCATGGAGGGAGGGGTTCAGGGAATCATTGGAGGGAGGGGTTCAGGGAATCATTGGAGGGAGGGGTTCAGGGAATCATGGGAGGGAGGGGTTCAGGGAATCATTGGAGGGAGGGGTTCAGGGAATCATTGGAGGGAGGGGTTCAGGGAATCATGGAGGGAGGGGTTCAGGGAATCATTGGAGGGAGGGGTTCAGGGAATCATTGGAGGGAGGGGTTCAGGGAATCATTGGAGGGAGGGTTCAGGGAATCATTGGAGGGAGGGGTTCAGGGAATCATTGGAGGGAGGGGTTCAGGGAATCATTGGAGGGAGGGGTTCAGGGAATCATTGGAGGGAGGGGTTCAGGGAATCATGGAGGGAGGGGTTCAGGGAATCATTGGAGGGAGGGG